AACAGCGACTAATTAATTCCGAAGCACGCTCTGCGCGGCTGCAACGCGAGAGCGCCCAACACCCACCAGCACCAAGAGCGCAAAAGCGTTGCTGCTGCTATTTATTTATCGCCGTTACACGCACACGAAGGTGAAGAGAAAAGCGAATTCATCAGGTGGAAGTGTCACCAGCACACAACCTACTACTTTATGTATTATATCCAGCGCGTGTATGTGCACAGCATTTACACAGCCGAGTCTCTCCAGGGATGTCCAAGTGATATTGCCGTTGCGACCCTCGACCGGCTGACCAATCGCCGGCCGATAATGTATCGCCGCCGCTTGCGCCCGACGGCCCAAGAAGTGTTTTGTTGCTCCGAGTGCCCGACGGTGAATTTATCGCGTATCATTTTTATTGTTGCCACTTCTCATTTTCGCGAGGTTATGCAACCTGCAGGCCACTGCAGGCGATGCCGGCTCTGCGGGTTGAAGCTTCCGGAACCACAGGGACTCGGTCAGTGTTGAAAAATTTGTAAATTCCTTTATTTGGGTTTCTATATAATTTTAAATAATTATCTTACAATTAGGAGGAAAAATAAAAAATTCAATTTGAAACTGATCAGTTTTCATAAACAATACAGATCAAGTTTTAAAAACTTCAAAAATCAATTGAATTGTTCCCATCTTCAGTTTTTCAGCAGAAGATTATAATCCAAGAATATTGCTCCAAAGGCAATTTTTTTTTAAATATTTTTAAATAATTTTACAAAAACAGCAATAGTTCCTTCTGCTTAAGGAAATTGTTATTTTAATAAGAGATTAAAATGTTCAAGAAATATACAAATTAATTCGTTTCTTTTGTTGGAAATATTTCGCATTATTTTTTTAAGAACACAATTCTTGTATGCAATCTTATCTTGAAGCAAATTAAATTGTTTATTTCTCAATTGGCATATCAAAAGCTTCAGAGTACTCGCAAGCAAACGCCATTCTCTGATTCTGAGCGAGTAATATAAAAAGTAATGGTTGCCTTGATTTCATAATTTCAGAAAGAGGTCGACTGAATTATTTTACTTACAACATGCCTTTGCAAACAACGCTATCAGACTGCTTCAATTATTGAAATGAATTCAAGGACTCTGCACGGTTCGATTGCGCAGTAACGAAAATCGTCGCGATTAGCAGCCAAGGAAGAAGTTTATTAGTCGGCGGAGGTTTATTGCGTGCCTGTAATTGGCGGCGCAGAGTTCAAGTTGGAACGAAAACAGCAATTTTGCAAAGCGACTAGCACTATTTGTAGGACGGGGCAAAGCATGAATGGGGCATAATTTAGCGGCAGGTTTTATTCGCCCGTGTTATTGTAGGCGGAAAGCAAAACAGTTTAGCGCACGCGGCTCTAACAATGGCCCACCATTAGACTCGAGTGCGAGCAATGGACCGAATTGCAGCGTCCGATAGTGGACATGTGACTGTCGGCGCCAACAATAACAATCACGGTTGGCATGGCGACGATTCCGGGGCGCATCTTGCGGCCCTGGGGAAATTAGGCGTGAGTGATGCGCGCGTGCGTCCGCGATTTCGAGCTAAATTATTATTACGATGCAGACAATGCGGCGGCGGCGGCTTTTGTCATTATGCGTGTGGAAATGAAGCCGCCTCGCTGCCTCCTAATCACGAACGACGAGCCTTGATTGCATGCGATTCGCCTGTGGGACCAAAACTATTATGTAGTTTAATGAATAGGCGCACTGCCTCTCCAAAGCGTCATTCGATGTGCGGAATATTATGGAGACGATGAGGAAGATGTGCAATGTTGAATGAGAAGAAAAGCCTTTCTAGATTTGCTCTGCATTTAAAAGCTTTGTGGAAGAAAAATTTTGTTGATGCTCACATAGTGTTAAAATTTAAAAAAAAAAAAGCTCTTTAGTATAATTTTATTGAAAATATTATTAAAGACGCTAAAATAATACAAAAATAGTTCAAAATTAAATGCGTTACTCAAAATTCATTGTAAGACTACCTTTTGAGAAAGCTTTGCTCTGACTGAAATCTCAATTTTTAATAAAAGTAACGGTCTGCGGAAAAAAAGGGCGAAACAAGAAAACTCAGCTTGCGCTGCGTATATTCATGTGTTGAGGCTGCTCATTCACTTAATTTTAAAGCTTATTTTCTAGATTTTAAAGCGCTTTGAGCTTTGCTCTGACTGAATTCTCAATTTTTAATAAAATCAAAGGTCTGCAGAACAAAAAGGGCGAAACAAATAAACTCAGCTTGCACTGCGTAGAATCATGTGTTGAGGCGGCTCTTTCACTTAAATTTAAAGCTAATATTCTAGATTTTAAGGCGCTTCGAGCTTTGCTCTGACTGAAATCTCAATTTTTAATAAAACTAAAGGTCTTCGGAAAAAAGGTGCAAAAAAACTCAGCTTGCGCTGCGTAGAATCATGTGTTGAGGCGGCTCTTTCACTTAAATTTAAAGCTTATTTTCTAGATTTTAAAGCGCTTCGAGCGTTGCTCTGGATAAATTCGCAATTTTAATCAAGGATCTCGGAAAGGTAGAGCGAAACAAAAGAAACTGAAATATCCAATCGCTCAGTCCGCATTGGAGATGTCAAAAGCAAACGGCAACCATTTTTTCCACCGTATAGATTAACCGACTGCTGAGTAGTGTGAAATTTTCGGTGTTGAAGTTTTGACAGCGCAATTTTCTCCGATTGTGAGCCGGCGGCGGCTTTCTGGGTCACGCAAGAAGTGCGAAGTGTTTCTCGACTGCAAATGCTCATTCCGCCGAGGTGTCGGCCAATAAAGCGCTAAAGTCAGTAAGTAGGCTGCTGGCAGGCTAATTGCCCACTCAGCCCTAATGGCCACCCTGCCAGCGTTGGTTTTGTTTGCTTGTTCTGTTTGTTGTATTCTGTGTTGTTTAAGTCCTCATCTTTTGCTTCATCAGTCTGAGTGCTCGGCCATTTTGGCCCGACGAAAAGGCTCGCACAATGCAGCCGGCGCTAACTTAATAAAGGCGAATGAAATTTGGGTTGCCGACTGATTTAAATAATGGTGTTTACCCGGGCCAATATAGTATAGAGAGCGAGAGAGCGAGTGCGGGGGAGTGCGAAGTTAGTTTCGAGTGCTGAGCAAACTTTCTTTCGCGGCAACGACGGCGGCGGAGATTTATAATTGATGGCTGGCTGCGTGCGCGACGCTCTCTTGCCACCTTCTAATGAAAAGACACTTGATGAAACTTTGTTGCGTGCAACGCTGCTCGCTTTGTGTGCACCGGAAGGAGGAGAGGCGCACGCACTCTTTCGAGGTGCGAAGGACTATTTATTGCCGCAGACCAAACTTCTCGTGCCATTTTACAGAAACACTGCACACTTCCCAGAGAAAGGGTGCATGGCTCAAAGGGGTATTATTCACTTGTCAAACTCTTCGTCTTGCTTGAACGAAACCCCCAGCTTTTGGCATTATGTTGGGAAATGTTCGGGGGTTCAGGAGAAATGGTTTATTTGCAGAAATTGAAGCCTGAAACAGGATTTTTTAACTTAAGAAAGAGGCTTACCTTCTAAAAGTAAAATTGCAAAAAAGTTTCTGCTATTTTCAATTAAAGTTTCTACTATTACTGAGTGAGGTACAATTGATTTGAATTAATTTTGTATTTCTTTTCTTTTAGTTGTAATCAAATTAGAGATCCATTTTATTCAAAATCAACTGCATACTTTATTTTGGAAAACCAATTTTTTTGGATTAACAATTTTAAATTTTTGATTTTTTAAATACTTTGCTTTTTTGACATTATAATTTATAATTTTACTTGATTTTAATTCAAATTATTTATTTTTCTCCAAACAAGTCAAACAATCAATTGTGAAAAATTGGTTGTGAGAAAAATAGGCACACAGTGCTAGTGAACAACTCACTGAAAATCTTTAATTGAAACATTTGAAGTAAATTTAGCTATTATAGAAGTTTATTTTATTTTATATTCTAAAATTCATATTAAAACTTTGTTTCTTATTTTGTTACAGCACTAAATATGTCCGCTGGCACTTTAAATTAGAAAAAAAGACATGATTTTCGAACGCAATATATTTTTTAATGAAGTGAATTTCCTCCATTGACTGAATACTAACAAAATTTAATCACATAATTAAAAAAAAGTTTAGAAACGCCGATTATCAGGTGATTTTTCATGGAAATTGCAATTTTGTAACTTCAAAAAGCAGTCCTCGGAGAGGCTCAAAGTGTAATTGATTACCGGCGCGCACACAAATCCAGCTGCTCCGCAAATTGAGTGCTAATTATCCGCTAATCCGGCGTCCTTTGACACGGAAATGGCCACCACGCTGTTGGCAGGGAGGGCGGGCAGAACACGCAAAAACTCTCAATTTTCGCACGCGCGCCCAGAGATTTAATGGGCAAATTCAATTAATGCAGAGAGAAAGAGCAGCCTTTTTGCGCTGGAAACCACCCATATTTGCACACACTCTGCTGATGAAAGAGATGGATGTGTCGAATATCGAAAGCGAACACGGTTTTCACATGCGCGCTTTTTATATTGGAAAAAAATCCGCCGTAAACAGCGGTGCAGCCACTAGAGAGGCGTTTCAGCGAATTATAGCTACTACATGTCGAAAACTTTTCACCCCTTTCCGGCGGGCAGGTCAGAACGAGGGGGTCATCGGGGTGAAAAGGGATGGATATTTTATTGCATCTGCAGCCAACGCATGGACGAGATTGCCGCGCCGTCGTTTGCGAGACCTGATCTTTAATATTGATCTGCGGGTAAATAGCGCAGTTTTTTTTCCACGACAAAACCCGACGCTTTGATCTCAGCCGCAATATCCTCTTTCACTTTGGACGATATTTTTGCCGAGTTTGTCACAGCCAGAAAGATAAATATCGATGGCAGCCAACGTCGAAGTTGCAGCGATATTTTGCTTTTCCAGTCGGTTTTTGTGCGGAGAGGGGGAATAAAAATGGAGAGGGAGTGGAAAAAAAATGGGTCAATGTATATGGAGTACTCACCAGAGAGCCCGGCCGTTTTGCAGCGCAGCCTCAATTCTGGAACAGGAAATTAAAAGCACATTTAATTGAAGCCTCGTTGTTTGCAGGATGTTCAAAAATATGAGAATAGCTGGCAAAAAATAAATGTGACGCCAAAACGAAGAAGGCTTTCAAAAGCAAGAAAGATTGAATTTTTATTGGGTTAATTTTCTTTTCAATTTAAACGTTGTAAAAAAAAATACAAGACACAAGCACGCTTTTTTTCTCTTTAATCATTTTATTATTAAAAACTAAATGGCTCTGTCAGTTTTGGACATGGTTAGTGGAATGAAAAATAAAGAAGCAGCAATTTTAGAAAATCCAGAATATATTTGAAAATTTAATAAATAATACTTTTCAAATTTTCTTATGAAGCTTCATTGATGTGTTAGATTAATTTAAAATGAAATTATCAGATTAATTGAGAATGCGTTTAATTTCTATGAAAACAATTCTTTATAGACATGAGAAAATAAATTTGAAGTCTCAAATTTTATAATTATTAAATTAAAAAGTAATATTAATTTATTATTGTGAATAATTTTATCTCATATTTTGCGGATAATTTGAAAAGGTACATTTTCAAAATTTTTGAAAGATGAAATCTTCAATTATTACTGGAGTTGGTGCCAAAAGAGCAAACAAGCCGGTCGTTTTGCGAGCAGTTAAAATTTTTATGCAAAGCGAATTTCCACAAAGCCATTGCGTGCTGCGTTTGCGAGATTGAACGAACGCTATCGGCAAACCAAATTCAGACATTCTCATGCAAATGCGCTGAAAATCAATAAGCCAATTATCACGCCGGTGAGTGTAACACACACACGAGCTCAAGCTGCTTTTCAACTCTCGCTGAATGAGTCCCGGCGCGGATGGCACCGCCGCAAAACCGATCGGCGCTTTCCTCCTCATTTTTGCCGTCCGAGCAAAGCAATTACGCAGTGTGTGACGCGCGGGGCCACGTATAACACGATATACGTTGAATAGGGCGCACCGAGATAACAGCATTAAACTTGGGTGAAACGCACACCAGCGACAAACATAACCTTGTTGTCTTCTCGGAATTGCCCCATGAATATTTGCAGACTAATTGATTGATCAAGTTTGGCATTAATTCGCTGACTGAGTTTCAATAGGTTGGTCAATATTAAAATCTGGTTGCATGACTAGCGTTTTTTCCAAGTGAATTATTATTATTATTAGAGAGCTCTACGGTCATGAATGTTTTAATTTGTTCGTGCACGTTAATATCACGAGTACACTTTAAATTAATGGCCAGTTTTCACGAAAGCAAGCGTAAAATGTGGGGGAGGGAAAAAGTAAACAGAAAGAGTACAAACAAAGCAGCTGACAGACTTTTTGTGTGACAAAATGTTTCGTAATGAAAGGAGAGAAAATAAATAAAATAGATTTTGCTGAGAATAAGAGCAATGAAAATTGAACAAATAATGGAGAGAAGTGGGCTTGTTTGGTGTTTTAACTATAACAAAGAAAACCTCAAATATTTAATGAAAATTTGAAGCAAAGTTAACAAGGTAATAAAGAATTGTCTTTTGAAAAATTTTAACAGCCTTAAAACAAGATTTAAATCAGAATTTGTTTGCATTTGGATTAATTTCTTAGAAAAAAAATAAATGATGTTTAAAAAGTATTGATCAGTTCTAAATAAATCATTACAAAATGTAACAGGTCATGTCGCAGAATTTGTGATAAGTGATCAGGACAAAATCTAAGTGATAGAAACAAAATATAAGTCAACCGAGGCTCACTGCGGTGGATTGGGTATTTTGATCTTGGAAGCTCGGAAGTTTCAGCAAAATTCTTGTTAGTGGTGTTGCCGTTTTGTCCAAAAATTCCTTTTTTTTCAAAGAAATTGTCTTCAACAATTGAATGTAAACAATGTGGTGTAATAATTTGGAAAAATAAACAAGAATAATAATGTTACACATAAATTTAATTATTTTTTTAAGTTTACAACATGTATAATTACTTAAAAAACTAATTTATATTATTAATCTCAACCAAAATTAAAAATACAATACGCGATCTCTAATTAAATAACAAAAGTGTATTATTGGTTATTGTAGGTCGGTGCCAGCTCAGTTGGCAAAGACTGAGCTTGGGCTAACAATAAGATGCACGCAGCTGCGTTCAATTTGTGGTGGCTGCTTTGCTTCGCCTCACAAAACAATCAATTATTCGCTGTCTCTCTTTCTGACGATCAGAGCAACGTTCACGCAGCGATGAATAATTAATTGTTAATCCTATATTAAATTGCACACCTGATTCCCGCGTGCGGTTCTGAAGCTCAGGTGCTCGAACGAAAATTAATTAAGGCGGGATGCGGCCTCTCGCTCGATCGCTGCCAACACTCGATATAAACAGGCGAGTGTTTGCCTGGCGAAATATGCAAATCGCGCGCAGTGCAAGACAAAGGCAAATTCGCACTCTCTTAAAGTACGTCTCATTCTGGTGATTCCAAGAGTGACTGAGTTGCCCCCGCCGAGAAGCAAAATTAATTAGGCAGAGGCGGAATTGCACGGTGCAATTAGCTCTCTCTCGACCCGGCGGGGCATTTGCATGAAAAAGTTGCCAAGTCAAATACGCCGACCCAAGAAATTTGCTTTCAACCGCAAAAACTGCGTTCATTATGCGGGTGTCTGCGGAGTACAATTATTTAGTTTCTTTTGCTCTACTTGCATTGAAGATTTCAAGAGCCATTTCTCTATCCCCAATTCACACAGAGAAGTTGAAGAAAAATCTAGTATCTGTTCTTGATTTAATTTCACTCAAGATTCTTGGTTAGTGGGTTTTTTTTATTATTAAAAAAAGGGATGGAAACAGGAAAATGATGTATTTTCTTCCACTATCAAGCTTGCATTTAATATGAAAAGAATTGGTAAAGTCTCCGCAAAGTACGATATTGAAAAACTTTGCTCTTCAAGAGTGCGCTTCGTGCAATATTATGTGCTGCCTTTGTGGCAATTTGGACGATAAATCTGAGCGCGGTAGCGGCGGCACCGCCAGTTTCTTTCAATCCAGAATCCAATAAATCGAGCGTAATCCTTAGCGAGGAATGTTTGCTCCAAAACAATAATAATGAAAAATTATTGGATTCCGCAGCGCTGATAAACCGAGGAAGAAAAATTCCGGCCAAATATATATCCAGTCTGGGAGAAGAGAGAGCGGGGCAATTACAAGATAAGCCGGCGTGCAGCAGGAAATATAAAATATAATACTACAGAGTGGGGAGAGTTTTATTTTTGTGCGGAAGTCAGCAGTTTGCAAGACCATCTCCGGCTAATTATTATCCCTGCCGCTGCATTTATCGCTGGTGGAGGAACTTGTTTGTCCAGTCCGAGCAAGACGAGATGACAATCAATTTTGCAGGCTACAAGCATTTCCGACATTTCCCGTGTGTTATCTGGACACCGTGATCAGCAGTAATAAATTCTCAGTTAGAATTGTTATTTGACTGCCCAATCCAATAGAACAAAACCTTTGGCTTTTCAAAATCATTATTTTATTTTTTGGAAAATCAACAGTGGAATTTTTCATCTGAAATTCGTTGAAATTCTTATTTGTTAAATTTTTCTGAAAGAATTTCAAAAGTTTTAGCCCGTAAATTCATATTCAACAGCAAACTAATTCATTTTCCACTTGCGTTAACACTTTCCTAATTTCTCGGCATTAAAAATTCAAAAGCGTCCCACTTTCGAAACTCCAGCAGAATGCATATTCAAATTAAACGAAAATTATGCTAATGCAGTGTTGGCCTGTTTACCCTTTTGAAGGAGTTGAAGCAAACAGCTTAACGAGCAGAATGGGGACCGTGCATGCCCAAATACATAATATTCACGCGCAGCAAACAACACGATGAGACCGGGGGTGGAGAGACAATTAAGCATGGGAGCGCTCTGGCCCTTATCATTGCCAGCCAGCTGCGCGGCACCAAAATAAAACACGGTGTAAGAGAGAGAGAGAGAGAGAAAGGCGGTGGGATTTCTGTCCGGCGGCGTGAAACTCTCCGCTCATCCCTCCCTTCAGCAACTCTAGGGAACGACTTTAATTAATTTTTTGAAACACTCGGCTAAATTCAGCCAACTCGTTTTCTCGACGTTCCCTTTGCCCCGGAGCCGGAAAATTGAGGTGCGCAAAGTGTTTTCCCAGAAGGACGGACCTTCCTTCTGACACTGACTCACTCCACTTTCAGATCGACGCGGAGAATTGGCAGAAACTTTGTCCCAGACAAACTTCTACATCAAGTCAGTTTTCCCTTTCCTACAAACGCAGTAGAAATTTATCTGAATTTCGACAACAAAAAAACCAAGTTGCTTCGGACACAAAATTTTGAGGCAGCATGAAATATAGTCTGGAACCATCTGATGCTGAAAATCAAACTGGATAGTGTATGAATTGAAAATTAGAACTCTATATATTGATTTAACGAGTAATTAAAAATTGAAACTTTCTTGAAGCATGAAAAATATATAGGTATGCATTTTAAAAATTAACAAACTCCAGAATGTTTTCATTCAAAAGTTACAGTGGTAAAAAAAACACACACACAATTTATAATTATTGTGTTCTTTTCCTCCTTAAAAGACATCCAGCTCAAATCTCTGATTGTTGTAATTTGAACATCTTTTCCTGCGAGTCATTTTCCCAAGAGGAATTTTTTTAATTATATTTTCACATACTTCCTCGAATCTCTTAACAGCAGGAATTAAGCACCCACACACATTCCTTTATGGTCGAAGTCTCTAATCAGCTTTATTTACAAATTTATAATAAAAGCACTACCAATTATCATTAGATGCCCATTTGAAAGTGGTTTCCATGTTCTTTGGAAAAAGTAATTAAATTTTAATCAAATCCCTCTGATCGTACCACCCACTTTAGGAAATTCAGCTCCAACCCTTTTCCACTTGACGATTCCATTCATGCTTGTTTTCGCAGTGAATGTCAGAGGTCAGTCTTTTGTCAAAAGGTCGCCGATTCTTCTCACCCCGATCTTTTGAGAGGCTTGTTTGCATGAAGTTGAATAATTGAAATGCAAACGAAAAGAGGGGCCGGCGCCGGCGAGCAGCAGGACACCCCAATTTGCTGGCAATTCGAAAAAGCCGCACGACCTCGGATGAAAAAAAAACAGAGACCGCACACACTCCACACATAAAGTAGTATGTGGCCGTGCATTTGTGTGCGCGAGAGTGTAAAGTTTAATAAAAGAAAGAAGGCAGAGTGAGAGAGATAATGATCGCGCTGGGAACATAATAACGGCGGCGCTCTGCTGCGGCAATGACGTGCTAAACCTCTTTCTCTCCAGCCCTCTCGTATATTTTTACAGCCGCCTGAGTAGATAAACAAAAGAAATTGAATATCTTCCGCCTCCTGTTGATACTTACAGCTGGCAAATGAAGGCAGCGGTGTGTTATGCAACCGGGCAGCCGTGCCAGCGAGACGCGTTGCCTACCCTGCGCCTGCCATTCAACAGAATACTAATTCGGCTGCACTGACGATAAAAAGCAACTGTCTTTTTCAGCTCATCTCTCTACATCTCTCGGAAATAATAAAAACACTCGTCATCCCTGCAAACTTTGCGCGCATAAATTTATTGTGATTAAACTCTGCAGTTTGACGAGTTCGAAGCTGCCGGGATGTGAGCCACTTAATTTTTAAGTTTGCATTTTCTCTGGGGAATAATGGAGTTTTATCTGCTGCTTCCTTTGTGCCGTCGTTTTGTTTACAACAGGAACAACGAAGACGACAGCAGGAAAACTAAAAGAAATGGTAGTTGATGTTGCAGTTAGCTTCTCTCATTTTTTACTTGTCCGTCAAGAAAGACCCGCGACCCGCTTGCTGGCTGAGCAAACACCGAATTGTCTCGACGACAAAGGAGCAAACTTGTGGAGCATGAATTTTTTACGACGTGCAGATTATGTCTTAATGTGTGTTTGCACAGACGACTCACTCAGACGAGTCCATCAATGTTGAATATGCTCAGGGGTCTGAAGAAGATTTTAGATTACATGTATGCTCCGTGTTTACAATTAGTTAGTGTGTTTGAGTTGATACGACCTGGTTTCAACTGTTCAATATAACGATTTGCATTAACTTTGAAAGGGAAAAATTAATTTAGTTCTTTGTACACTGGCAAACTGCAATTGATGTAATATCTTTTGATTAATGTGAATTTTTTCTTTTTAAGATAATTTTCCTCTCTATTATGTAAATTGATAATTTTATTTGAATGTATGTATGATGTACCTGGGCAGTAATTGCCTTCTGATACAATCAATAAAGAAACTTTGCAACTAAAGGTTTATTAATTAATCATTATATTAAATACCAAAGTTATACAGACACAAACATAAAAAATAATGCATACAACCATTAAAAACAAAACTAAGGGTAGAAATTGCCTTAAATTTTTTTTTAATCTGCTTTAATTAGAGTGAAGTCACTCTTTTCACAATTGAATAGGGGATGCATTCCAATTTTTAAACGGATTTTGTAAATTTAAAATTTTAATTTGGCTTTTTTGGAATTTTAATTTTCTCATAGCTAGTTTCCAACTTAATAAATACAGTATTATCAAATCAATCATATCATAATAAATAAGGAAAACCATGGTAATCATACTTCGTAAAAAGGTGCCGATCTTTAAAGTTAGTTTTTTAGTCATTACAGAAGTGTTGAAACATAGTGGCTCTATTTATACAATTATGCTATTTTTCTATAAAAAAAAACGTATAGGCACTGAATTTAGTTTCAAAAATTGATTGTTTACCACGAAAATAATATTTTTGCCAATAGAAAAACAATTAAAACTTTTTTATTTCAAACTTTCAAATGAACACAATGGTTGAATTTTTGAATCCGAATAATGACATTATTATTTGCTATTAAGCATTCTGACAAAATTTTGTAAATAAATTTGATATTTGATTCGAATTTCATTATTTTAATTATTCAATTGCTGGTTTATAGAACTTTAGATTAAGCGTAATTTTAACAATTCAAATCATTCTCATTAGTTTTCTGAATGCTTCCTTCCTTCCTCACTGTTACCTCTCAATTATTCCATCCCTTACCTTTCATTCAAACGGTTCATTTGCACATCATACTTTTGTTTATAGCTCGCTTTTGAAATGGCTTGCTTTGATTGCAAAATTCTCGAATCGACGATATTTCAAAAGACGAGATGACGTCTCAGCCAAACAAAAGAGAACAACGACCGTGCACGTATGAACGTGTCTGCGACAGGTGCGTCATTTCGTAATCAGAGTGGCGCCGAGAGGCAAAAAAGGAAATCTCTCGCAAAAAGAAGCAACGCCTGTGCCCATTTTTCCCTTTTTTAATCACGTAAAAAAGCAACTCGAGTGCAAATACGACACCTTCCTCCTTCTCTTCGCATTCATTTTTCAACGAGAGACGAGGCCCTTTCATCAGCCTTTATCACAGAAAGAGCCGCCAAGGCTTTTCACCAGCAGATCCCGTTTCGACTTTGATCTTGCCGAGAATATTACGCTCTCACCTGAGAGAGAGGCACGAATGTATATGCTCAGATTTGCGTGTGCCAAAAATCTTTCGCGCTGCCGGGATTTGGGCTCCCGCCCGACCCCTGAACAGCAGTCAGAAGCGCAGGTGTATGAAATTACAATTATTCTTGCGGCGCTCCACCGCCGCGCCGAATGTAATTACAAACAAACACGGACGGTCCTTTGAGCCGTGCATTATTCAGCCGACGGAATATTCATGGGCGCACCAACAGAACGGCCAACTCTTGGCCAATTCAATTACTCGCGTGTGTGGCCACCGATTGTGCTGTAGCGATTTGCAGCCTTTTTCCATGGCCAAATACTATATCCTTCTCAGTGCGGGAGATGGGAATTGGGCGTCAGTTGAATCGAAAGCCGACTGGACCGGAAAATATTACATTTGCGAATCTGCGAAATCCCTTAGCAATCTAAATAGATGATTCGCCATTTTTCAGAGCTATGCACACAAAAATGAGATTCTGATTTCCATTGCTCTTCTTCTAATTGTCAGTTAAAGACTTCAAAACTGCCGTGAATTTATATAAAAAGAAAAATATGCAATTACTTTGACGACTTTTTTTTATTTGTATAATGATTGAAATGTCTCAATAAAAAGAAATTCCACTCAAAGAATAACTATTTAATTAACATATTATATATTTTATGATTAACTCATTAAGTAATTTTAAGTAGATTTATAAAATCATATTAATCTTATTCCACACTGTTTGATTTAAAATTGTCTTTTTTTTAGCGATTTTTGCTTATGAGCATCATAAAAATTTCTTTCGTAATTATTAAATGTTCATAATAAAGCGGAAACTATTAATTTAGGATTAACACTACAATTTTTTCCCAATAATTTCGCTGGGAATGTATTGGAAAAATAAATTCAGGGTTTTTTCTCGTAGAGTATTATACAGTTTCGTAAAATTTTTTTGAGCAAACTTGAATCTTTTAGCCAGGCTGAGGCGCACATTGTGCCGATCTCTGGGTGACTTGGCGGCTGCATGCTTTGTTAAACGACGTTTTTCCTTGCGGCCAAAAAACCTGGCTGCAAGCAGGGCGGAGGCTGCGCTGCCAATATCACGGTTCACTTAATGCCGCTGTTGCCGCGGGCGGGAATTACCCTCGCACACCGCAGCCGAGGAAAGATCTTATCGCGACTTAATATTTCATCGATTATCGGCCTGCTTTTTCTCGCAGCACCGCCGCGTGTGCGTCGCGAGCTACGTGTGAAATGAGCCATTAACGAATTATTATGTGAAGTTACCACGCGCGCGCCACTTTTGGAAAAGTTTAATAAGGTGGCACGCACGTTTGCATGGTTGATTGCAGTATGAATGGATTTTTAATCCTCCCCTCAAACGCAGCGCCAAAGTTTATCGGCCAGCCGCGCCAATTTCACCAGATGAAGCCGATTGATTTTTAATCGCAGCCTGGCGATAGGTCTGCGGTTTAATTGTGTATTCATTAATCTCCGCCCTTTCGCTTTCAAATTCATTGCGAATTTTGTTTATTCATCGCCCGTTTTATTGCTTCCGAGGGATTCGATGTGGAAATTGAATGTGCAAATATTAATATTTGAGAGCGCGTGGTATTTGCCCAATTAAAATTATAACAGAATGTTGCTCGCGGCAAAGCCTTGTGATAGACGACGTCGAATTTGCAACAAAATTCGCAAGCGTGCGAACAAATCCGCTCGCGGCTCAGTAGTAATTCCGGTGGCCGAAGATCAATACATCATTTGCAACTAAATTTAAACTGGCCATGTCGATTCATGAATAATTAAGAGTGGTTGAACATCCCGAGCGGAAAACGGCGACCTTTCTGAATAAAGGGGAGATTTTTCCCAATGCGGGGCAAATAATGATATGCACAGAAAAGGGCAAAGGTTGATCAAAATAATTAGAACAAAATATTTATAGTGTATAAAAAAGGGTTACTAAAATTTTTGGAAAAAAAATGATATTTTATATTCCTCTAATGCGTTTAGGAAATCAGGTTACTCTGTTCAAAATGCCTAAGTAAACGTATGAAGGGATGTTGGGAGCAAATCTTAAGTTCTTTTTTTCCACTCGGGCGCCAAATAAGTTGTGCTGGAGGATTTGCGTCGAGTGCTGGAATACATTAAACGAAAGAGAGAGATTTATTCGCGTGTCTCGGCAGCGGCGGTTGAGATTGCGAGAACAACACACGCAGCAAAAGAAACAAGAGCATAATCCGGCGGACGAGAAAGAGAGAGAAGCTCTGTCTGTACTATACCTTAAGAGGGATGAGCCCAAAGAGTCATCCAGTCGGAGAGTTCTCCGCCTCGGCAGCAGCCCGCAAAGCCGCTTACACTCGCGAGACGCGCCTGCAACAACACAGATTAAAAATTAATTGGGGCTCTGCGAAATTAGTTTTTAATTCCAATTAGGATGAGAAATTAGCGGGAACGATGGAAATTTAATATTTTTTCCTGGAGGCTTAATTGAAATAACGAAGCACTCTTAACAATGAAGGTATAATGCTGATTTAAATTAAATTATCTTTTGTTGTAAGAGGTACAATTAATATTGTTTTCTAAATATTTTCCAAAGCAGAAGTACTCTTAGATTTGGATGTTTTTTAATCAATTGAATTTTTGCCTTAATTGGATCTGAATAGTTTTATTTTAGAGGAGTAAATTAAATTTAATTCAATCAAAGAATATTTTCATGATCTAAAATTTTGATTGCGCCAATGCCTATAGACCGCGGATGCTTAAATGAAAGCAAAGGCCAACTCCTGAACTCTCAGAATTTAAAGGCCGCTGCCCATTTCCGCTCAAACAAAGCCATCCTTCTGGAGTTTGCAAGCGATTTTGGTAGAATTTGAAGATAATTAGAGCACCATCGCCACGAGCCATTTGCGACCAAACGCCGGCCGTCCGCCACTCCATTCTCAAGCACACGCCCAGAACAAACAGAGCAGCCGAGACGGCGATTGCATTAAGCTAATTTCGCCCCCAGTGGCGCATGCATGTTTGCCCAGCCATAATCCTAATGACAAAGTACATAATAGCCGGTCGGCTGCCGGTGTCGGCGGCGACTGCAAGTTGCTGCTGCAAAAGCCTAGATTGCTGGCGGCGCCTCTCGGCTCGAGAAGCACCGACTTGAACTTTGGAGACCCTTGATGAAGTCGCACTTGTTTTAAACTGGGGCACAACACCCTTGCTTACATCGCAAGGCTCCTTTTTGCTTCGCTCACTTAACGTTTATTGCAGGAAATCGTGATCTGCTTTCTTCCTCGGAAATTCAAATTGGCAAAAAGTTAAATTACGAGACGAGAAATGGCCCAGGCGCTTGATATTTAAATCCCCGCAGTAAATAATTATGCAAAAATCCCTGCGTTGGCGGCGGAGCGGGCGGGCCGACGAGAAGTTTATCTTGTAAATGATGTGGTTGTGGTGGGAGAGAGTTCGCAGCGAGAAAAAGTGTGGTCTCATCTTTGCGGGCGCGCGCCAAATGATGGATGGATTAAGTATTTGCATAAACTGGCGTCGCGGGCGTGCGAGAGAGCTGCAGAGAGAAAGACACGCACACTTATTCCGCTGTCTCCACGCACATTATATGGAAAAATTGCCCTGGTCGTGAAAATTTGCTGCACCAGTGGCGGATATTCAAGAGTAATTTTTATTATTAAAAAATAAAAAAAACACTTCTTCTTGCCCACAGTCGATATTTTAAATTTAAAAATTAATCTAATTGAAACAAAAAATGAAATGAAAAAAACTTAAAATTTGATTTTGAAAAAAGATTAATCACAACAATTGCAAATTGTATTTTCAACAGTAGATAAATGCCTCAAAATATTAACTTTATCATGCATGCATGACAATGTATAAATGGCATAAAAAAATGAATATAACTGTCTGAGCAATGGTAGATTAATTACGTTAAAAATTCTAATTTGCAACTAAAAAATTATACATATCAGTCGAGCATGAAAGCTGAAAGAATTAAGTTAAGATATAAACCTCATTATTGCAACTATGGTAATAATACGAGTGAACCTTTCATTGTTCGATTTGCCTAGACACAATTGTTTTCTATAATCCAATATGATTTTCTGGACTCCTTATTGGCATAGCTAAATTAAATCCTTACAAAAATATAAAGAGTCATTTTTTTTTAAATATCATCAAAAATTTATCTCCAATTGTTGTAAATCTTTCTTTTGAATATGTAAATATGGGATCCTTAAAAAATCAGCAACCACAAAGTCACTATTTTTTTTGCACAAACTGTTGCAAATTTTCAGCGAGAGAACAGATTGTAAATCTAGTCCGGCATTTTCATGTTTTCTGTCCAGCGTTTAATGTCTTTTAAAGCACACAAACGCCAACTTTTTTAATTTTTTTTTTGTCGCCAGAGCAGTTTCTGTGATGAATTTTTGGATTTGCTCGCGGCAGGGAAACGTTGGCGGTGCCGCCACTGCGCGAGCTCGTTGGAAAATGTGTGCGTTTTGCACGCTGCGAAAGCAAATTTTAATATCAGCAGTGTAGCTTTTTGTACGTATAGAGAGGAGCGCGCGCCGTGCCGCAGCAGCTACTCAAACACACACTCTTTTTCACAAATTTATTCATATAGGCGCTGCAAATATACAAGCGAAATGATAAATTGCCCCTTGTAAAATTTGCATAGCTCGAGAGATATTTCTTCTTTTGGGCTGATATGACGCGAGAGCGAGAGCAGCCTCCATGATATTTTGTGTGTCATGCCTCATGAGCTTTATATTTACCCTTTAGCTGCCTCATATGCATACAGATCACGCTGCAAATAAAAAATATGGAATAAAAAAAGAGAACGCTTTGCGATCTTGTGTGTCGCGAAGAACGGGCGTGCAAAATGAAATGTGCACAAGCGAAAAAAAATTCGCTCTCTCACTCCCGGCTGGCAAATGAAAAAGCTTTTAACTATATTAAAAAAGTAATTTTTGTGACAGTTGTCTTTTGCTGGTCGTGTTTTCGCTTGCGAGCGAGCGTTGTTATTAAAATGCTCTCTTCATTACACAAACGCGAGCCCGCAAAAATTTCAGATGTGTGCGCATTGTTTCGGATCTGGCGAACTTCAGGGCACGCTTTTTAATTGCGGTCTCGCTTACATGCAAAAGGTTTGCTCTTTTTAAAACGGCGTGAGAGAGAAAAAGGAAAAGCAATCCTCTTTCTGTTTCACCCACTCCCCAGCTGGAGCAGCCATTTGCGAAAATGAGAAAGACAAAATTTAATTCATCAAGCTCCTTTCAAAATACTTTATAACACAACATTCCGACTGCTTCACCGTCGAGTGCGCTCTCCATCAGTCTAATCAGCCGTGCCAAATTATACGGAGAAAATATCCCAATAATAAACCTTTGACGAGGATTAAAAAAGGGTTGATGAGCGAGCGTCTGCTCTCTGCTGTATAAAAATTATTAGATATTGATTGGCGCGAGCCATTGATCCGTTACACGAATAATGGGCACTCTTGAGTTTGAAAAGAATAAGAAGCAAAGTCTCTCTGTTCAACGGCCCTCGACTGCTTTTTCATCTAAAATTCAAAATGAATTCGCCGGCACGCCGCCGCTGCGACCGAGAAGAATTGTGTCAAGTAAAACGCAAGAAGTCAAGAGGCCGCTCTTTCTTTGTCTTTTGCAAATCCACCTCGGGGCTTTCTGCAAAGGCGGCGTAAATTTCAGCGCATAATAATGCCAAAGAAAAGGAATTGCAAGAGAAGAATTCGGCTCGCCGAAAGAGAAAAAAATGGAGAGTGGTGGCTTTTAAACCATACACACACACGCTCGGCTCTTTCTTTCCACGGTGGTTAAATTATAGCATAAAGGTCTCTTTCGAAATCCTTTTGCAGCAAAGCGAAAAATTACGCTCTCCTAATGCTGGCTTCGCGTGTGCGAAGGGAAAGCACCTCGGCATAAACAAGCCAGGGTGAATCTCAGAGGGCACGTACCCGAGACGCATTCGCAGACACACCCCGGATTGTTTTACGCCCCGTAATGCGCGGCTCGCCTGCAACAGCAATGTAATAAACCTTAAAACACCAAACTCGAGTGCTATTTCGGGGCTGCGTGCGGCGGCGGCGAGCACAGCCTCAGCCCGTCGCAGCCCACCCGGGAGACAATTAGACCCGTAAGTACTCAGACGAGAGTTTCCTTTGACGCAAGAATTTCTGAGGACAGAGCATAACATTTTAAATGCAATCGAGTTTGTTTGAAAAATAAAATTTATCTAGAATAACTCACAAAAGTGCAGAGAACTATTCTCAATTGCAAAAAATTTAAATGTTCATTAGTGTTCCTAAAGGATCGTCATGGATCGTCAGGCCCAGGAATAACTTTCTGGACGCGCTGAAAACCTGCCCAATGGAACAATTTCCTACCCTCTGTAATATGTGATAAGAACAAAAACAGTCAACCGAGGTTCACTGCGGCGGATGGGGTCTTTTTGATCTCAGAAGTTTAAGCTAAACTCTTGCTAGTGGTGGTGCCGTTTTACCAACAATTAATTTTTTTTTTCAATAAATTGTTTTCAACAATTGAATGTCTGTTGAATGTCAACAATGTATTTTTATAAACAACAATAAGTTTTTACAAAAAAAAATTAATTGCATTTGCAATTAATATACTTAATGATAATTAATCTCATTTCTGAATCTGTTTCTTTTCTTTTTCTTTTCGAAAAAAATCAACAGATACGATATATTTAAAAAAATTCTAAATAACTTTTTAATCTTGATTTTTGCAATTCAGACCATATAAAAGTTTTAAATAAATGGTTTTTGCTCCAAGTTCTGCCTTAATCGTATTAATATTACTCGGCAAGAACCAAATTCTTCAAACATACCAGACTAGAAGTGGATCCGATTAAATTTTAATCAGCTGATTTCAAGTCTGCATGCACTCAAAGGAACTTCCACATGCGCGCAACGTCTCCTTTGTCAACAACTTGTTTCTTGTTATCTCTGAACATACGCGGCGCCCCTTTGCTTTGCCTTGATATACATGACGCAGTTCTCCCTTTCTTTGTGCCCTACGAGCAAGACTTCCAATCCAATTTTCTGCACTACTAGCAGGAAACTAGTAGTCAAAAATGCGAACAGTCCCCAAAGTCGCAGGAGAGTGGGGTGCTTGTGTGAGCAAGTTTGTATTCAAAAGTTAATAAAAGATTTCCAAAGTTTGCGCTTATCCTCCAAAAGAGTGCTGCGCTGCTCTTTCGTGGATGCCGCCGCGAATCTGCAATACCAAACTTGCCACATTCATCATTCCGGCATGGGTCGCAGTGAGGATGAAGAAGAAATTTAGGAAAATTCGACAAAAATAATACGCCTAAAAAAAGAAAAC